GTCTCAAGTCTACTTTCAACCTTAAACTAGTCCAATGCCATGTTTTCTGCTTAGGGGGTGGGTTTTAAAACCTGAGGTTCCTAGCCATTTGTCCCCTCTCTTCCAAGGCTTACTGCTCTGGCTCTTAAGTGTCCCTTTGATTTCTGAAACTTGAGGATTTTCTTGTCTTTATTTCATATCCAGCTGTGTGACGATTTCCCTTCCTAATTTCTTTGTTTGTAGCAGGGGAATGGTGGGTTTTCCCCCAAAGTCCTGGGCGGTAGTGATGACTGTTTGCCATGTTGCTGGAATGGATTCTCGAACTCACATTTTAAATCAAAGACTCTCATCCTTGGCTGCATATTGGAATCACCTGGGAAACTTCAGTAAGTACTGATTCCTGGATCCTTTGCAAGAAATTCACTTAGTTGGTCCGGGATGACACATTGACATTGGGGCTTTTAAAGGCTCCCCAAGTGATTCTAATGCAGCCAAGGCTAAGAACCCCTGCTTACACTTCAGCAGCAACCACTCCAAGCTGTGAGTTCCATAGAGGCTTCAGCAGGCTTCGGAGGTGGTGGTCTTACTAGGGCAACAGCTGGATCTGTTTCATAGGTATCTCCACTCCTCATCTTTATTTCTGGTCCATTTGTGTGTTATCCTGGTGGACCCGGTCAGATAATTTTTTTCCATCTTCAGTGTGTTCCCTGCTGACGTCTCTGAATTAGACTTCTGCTTTTCTCTCTGTATCTATCTACTCCAATATTTTTCCTGTTAAAGAGGTCAGCTCTAACAGAAATGATAGCTTGTTGGTTTAAGATGCCCAAATGCAGTGTATTTTCCAACTTTTCATTTTGATTCATTGCTGGTCTTGACCTTTTTCAAGTTTTCCACAAACTGTGCCTATTGATGAGTCATAAAAATGTCCTAGGCAGTAACTTGTGCTGTGTGCTAATGAAAATATTAAGCATGTCCATGATATTCCTTTTAATTTTACAAGGAATTTGTGACTTCGGTGCAGTAGTGACATGTGAGAAATGGCATTAAACTGTGAAAAACAAAACTCACTGTTCTTATTTAAGAGTGGATGGTAGATTTAACTGTTGGGGCTGCTGGGTTGCTTGATATTCTTTGTGGCGGAGTGAAAAAAGGTTCTTAAGGACTCTACTGATTTCCAGATGTTTAGTTAAAAATCTTTTCCTTGAAAGGTCAGCTATTCTGTTGGGTAGGAGGACAGACTGGTGTGTTTGATCGTCCAGTGAGCCATTGACCTTCATGATGTTCCTTTGCTTTTATTCCTGGAAGCTGTTCTACAGATTGCACTTTAGTTTCTTTCTTTTCTTTTCTTTTAAGATTTACTTATTTAAGAGAGAGAGAGAGAGAGAGAGATCGAGAGCATGCAAGTGTGAGTCAGGGGAGGATCAGAGGGAGAGAATCTCAAGCAGATTCCCTGCTGAGCATGGATGCCAGTGTGATACTCTGTCTCACGACCCTGAGATCATGACCTGAGCCAAAATCAAGAGTTGGACGCTTATCCAACTGAGCCACCCAGGAGTCCCTGCACTTTGGTTTCAAATGGGAAACAAGAATTGGTTATGTGAAGATTTGATAAGTAGTCACCCAAAGCGCATGCTCTACTGAAAATGGATTACCCTGTCTTCACTTATGAAGGACAGAAACTTCTAAAACATTTGAATAGGTAATACATATATGTGGCTTAAAATTGAAAAAGCACAGAATGGTATATGATAGGGCGCCTGGGTGGCTCAGTCGTTAGGCTTCCACCTTCAGCTCAGGTCATGATCCTAGAGTCCTGGGATCGAGCCCCGCTCAGGCTCCCTGCTCAGTGGGAAGCCTACTTCTCCCTCTCCCTCTCCCCCTGCTTGTGTTCCCTTTCTCACTATCTCTTTCTCTCTGTCACATAAATAAAATCTTTAAAAAAAAAGGTATATGATAATAAACAGGTCCTGTCAGTATCAGCTGTGCTAAATCATGTTGATTCTGTGTACTCTTGATATGATGTGATGAAAATGGCACTTTACTTCTGTGGTTTTCCTTCCAAAAATTCGTAACACCGGTGTAATCATGAGAAAAATTCTATTAGAGGGGCAGCCTATAAAATATTTGACCATTACTCCTCAGAACTACCAAGGTTGTCAAAAACAAGAAAAGTCAAATTGTCACAGACAAGGGGAACCTAAGGAGACAATAATTAAATTTAATGTTGAATCCTGAATGGAATCCTGGGACAGAAAAAAGACATTAGGTAAAAACTTTTTAGAAATCTGAGTAAATTGCAGACTTTAATAATAATGCATTTATACTGGTCTCATTAAATGTGGCGAAAGTATCATACAAATGTAAGGTGTTAATAATGGCAGAAACTATAAGGTGTAGAGAACTTCTCTACAGTATCTTCTCATTTTCTGTGTAAATCTAAAACTGTTCTAAAAAATGATGTATTTAGAAAGTCGTCTTCCTTTCCTGAACCTCCAATACCCTGGTTTAAGGTCTTGTGACTCCTTTGAGAGAGATTTTATGCCAATATAAACACAATATATGTATATCCCTCTTTCTTCTGCTAAAAAAAAAAAAAAAAAAAGGTGGCAACATACGTACATAGTATTATTTCAGTTAAGTATATTTGGTGATTTTTTCATATTATTTCATATGTTCATTATTATTCATAGTATTTCATTATATAGCTATACCACATTTTAACTGGTCTCCTGTTTTGGGGTAGTTAGGTTGTCTTCTTTGACTGCAGTTGATTAGTTTATAATCCTATCATTTGGAACAGAGCAGGTAGGAGTTGGGGTTTGGGATGGTGGGGGAGGGAATAGTCAAGTTTTATTTTGGTATTTAGTTGGATTTATTTATTTATTCATTTATTAATTTAATACTCCACTTATTTCTGGAAGAGGATTTGAGGGAGATTGTTTAGTTATTTAAATCTATTTGATGAATATCTCAGAGATGCCTCCTGTGTACTAATCATAATGCTGAGTAAGTGCGGGTGATACAGAAATCTCTTAAGGTTCAGGTCCAGATCTTAGCTCATGGTGAAAGAAATAGTCCCAAGAATATAATCATATTTTTGTAGTCTCTGCTAACACTGTGCTGCAGAAACACAAACGACGAAGTGACTAAACTAGACATTTTGAGTTTTAGATGTGATTCCAGATGAGCTCAAAAGGCAGTTGAAGGTTCATGGTTGACTCATTTGGATGGTTTTTGTCTTCAAGGAAGGGAAGGTCCTCAGTTTTCTTCTGTTCGTGGTACCTGGAGTCAGAGACATTATGTTTGTAGAGCAGACTTAGCCTGCCTCCACTCTGAGGCAGCCTCTGGGAGATGTCCTGTCGATTGCTTACCTTCATAGGCAGTGAAGAATACTCAGTAGCATGATTTCCTTATGCTTCAGTATGCATTCAGGGAGAGTATTGGATACTGTGGTTTGGTGAAGCTACTACACACAGTTGTGGAACCATTGTTGATTTTTTCCCCCAAGGAATGGTTCATCCAGGAGAAGGCATGGGCAGGGAAAAGGATGAAGTGTTTCGCTTTTCACTGGTTCCTTTTCGTGACAAGGCTTTCTTCCATGAGCTAGAAGTCTAGCTTCAAAGAGAGCTTATTTAATTATATACTTATTTTTAATTACAAAATAAATACATGATTGCATTTCCACAAGATATTCAAACACTGTTTGCCTTGGCTCCAATTCCATTCCATTCCACAGAAGGAACCATTTATTGCATCATTTGGTGTATATGGAAAATGTGTGTGTGTGTATGTTTGTGTTTTACATTATTGTCCTACAAAATACACTATCCTCTTATTTGATTTGTTCACTTAGTAAAATGTACTAGATAATATTTCAAGGCATAACATGTTGATTGACCTTACTCCATTTTTATGGCTATAACAAAATTAGTTCAAACTTTCTGCTATTGTTAGCCTTCTAGATTGTTACCATTTTTGGTTTATGATTATGAACAGTGCTGTAGTGACCCCTTTGTACATTGTGGGGGTTTCTCTGGGTTATTAAGAAGTGATTTTGCTACTCATAAGATTTAGGGATTTTAGGGGGCCCCTGGGTGGCTCAGTGGGTTAAAGCCTCTGCCTTCGCCTCAGGTCATAATCCCAGAGTCCTGGGATCAAGCCCCGCATTGGGCTTTCTGCTCAGCAGGGAGCCTGCTTCCTCCTCTCTCTCTGCCTGCTTCTGTGCCTACTTGTGATCTCTGTCTGTCAAATAAATAAATAAAATCTTTAAAAAAAAAAAAGATTTAGAGATTTTAAATTTTGCCAGATACTTACAACACATTGTTAACATGAGAAACACAAGTTGTAGATTTGAATGGATAGTGTCATATCATTTATGTTGGAAGAAAAGCCCAGATATGTCACAGGAACATATTCTATTGGCTAGACTGGTAATAGTTGAAAACCTTCAAGAAGATACTAGATTTGAGAATGCTTGTCAAAGGGACTTTGGCCTTTTCAGTGATATTTAGGTTTTTATAAGAAGAATGTGTGCATGTCCTATTCAAATTATAAATAGTTACCAATAAAAATATAAAAATGTTTAAATAATTTTTATCTATCTTTATGCCTAAGGCATAGAATAGTCCTGTTTTTAATCACATACTGACCATTTAAAATTTTGATCATGTGTTAGGGTGTGGAAAAAAACCCAGTATTTTTCAAAAAGTAGAATTAGGTGATGGTAGGTGAGGGACATGTTCTTTGGCTGCTGTTATCCCAGTCAAGTATTTAATCATCTTGGGTTTTCTGGATTTTACAGTAAAAAGCTATCTCTTATTGTAGCTTTCTGTTTATAATATTTAGATTCTAGTACAAGCGACTAAAATTTAAAAAATTTTTACTGTTGACCTTAATACTCTTTAATGTAATATAGAATATTTAGATATTGCCATTGTTGTATGAATACAGTAAACAATTGCTTAAATTATGTGACTCCAGAGAATAGGTGTCTTTAATACGTAACTTTTTTTTTCTTCAAGAGATGTGAAAGCTGGAAATATTCTTCTTGGAGAAGATGGCTCAGTACAGATTGCAGGTAATGATTAGTATTTCTTTTTATTTAATGGTCAGTAGAACCACCTTACCTGTGTTTTGTGTTTTCAGGGCTAGTTTTCTCTTCTAGTCCCTGGACTGTCTCTAGTCAAGCAGCCTGTATTGGCACATCCCTGCTGACTCTCAAGATATTCTCCACTATTCATCCTTCATTTTTTATCTCAGACATTTTTCTGTCCATTAATCATTACCTTCCAGTTATCACTCCTCACCCCAGTGAAGTCATCTTCTGTGGGTTCTCACAGCGTTCTGTGCTTTTCTTTGAAGGAAAGGTAGTCAGGAATCCCCACAATGTGTATGAAGGAATACGCTGTGGAGGAGTGATACTGAGCTGCCTCTGTCCTGGGGCAATTGGGGTATTTGCCAGTGAGGAGGAGGCATCTGAGAGGCGGAAGTGCACTGTTGGCAGACTCAGAGCTGAAAAGATAGGAGTTGGCGTCCAGGGTCTACCAGAGGCGGCCATGCTGGTGAAATGCCCCTCCTGCAGGCTGAGACTCCAGAGTGGTTGTACCACAGGATTGTTGAGCAAGCCACTCATCTGAGGCCTCAGCTTGGTCCCACACCACTGGGATGGTCAGGTGTTTGGCAGAAGGAGAATAATTACCCAGACCCTAAATTGTTTCTTTAGTTTTAGAGGATAATTTAGGTGCACATCTTCATGTCCCAGCCTAAGGAAATACTTTAACAAAGCCACATATTGCTTCAGCATAAAAGAAAATATTGATAAATTTGACTCCTTTAAGATTTATAGCTTCTATTTATTGAAAGAGGAATAAATGGTTTATCACCATTAATAACCAGAAAGACAAACCACATAGTAGAGAGGATATTTGCAGCATGGAATAACTGATACCAGGCTCAAATTTAGAATACATAAAGAACCATTAAGAAAAATCAGATAAGGGACACCTGGGTGGCTCAGTTGGTTGGACGACTGCCTTCGGCTCAGGTCATGATCCCGGAGTCTCGGGATTGAGTCCCGCATCGGGTTCCCAGCTCCATGGGGAGTCTGCTTCTCCCTCTGACCCTCTCCTAGCTCATGCTCTCTCTCACTTTCTCTCTCTCAAATAAATAAATCAAATCTTTAAAAAAAAAAGAGAGAGAAAGAAAGAAAAAGAAAAATCAGATAAGGGCGCCTGGGTGGCTCACTTGGGTAAGCAGCTGCTTTTGGTTCAGGTCCTGGGGTCCTGGGATCGTGTCCGACATCCGGCTTCCCCTGCTCAGGGAGTCTGCTTCTCCTTCTTCTGCCTGCCACTCCCTCTACTTGTGCATGCTCTCTCTCTCTCTCTCTGTCAAGTAAATAAATAAAATCTTTTTAAAAAGAAAGAAAGAAAAATCAGAGTAAAAATGGGCAGAAGATGGGCACCTGGGTGGCTCAGTTGGTTAAGTGACTGCCTTCGGCTCAGATCATTATCCTGGAGTCTCAGGATCAAGTCCTGCATCAGGCTCCCTGCTCAGTAAGGAGTGTGCATCTCCCTCTGACCCTACCCCCCTTTCGTGCACTCTTCCTCTTTTTCTCTCTCAAATAAATAAATAAAATCTTTTAAAAAAAAATGGATGTCTTCCCAAATGAAGACAGCAAAACATAATGTAATAAAAGGTGTTCAACGTCACTAGTAATCAGTTAAATGCCTATATTATAGACATGCCTATAATGTCTGTCAAGTAAATGTCTGTCAAGTAAATAAATAAAATCTTAAAAAAAAAAAAAAGTTATGTTAACACTATTCTATAGCCTACTAGATGTGCAATACAGGATTTTTAAAAATGCATACTTTAATTAAAAATACTTTATTGCTAAACATGCTAACCATCCTTTGAGCTTTCAGTGACTCATAATCTTTTTGCTGGCAGAGGGTCTTGTCTCTGTGTTAATGACTGCTGACGGATCAAGGTGAGAGCTGCTGAAGGCTGGGGTAGCTGTGGCAGATTCTTAAAAGAAGACAATGACATTTGCTACATCAGTTGACTCTTCTTTTCACGAATGATTTCTCTGTAAGCATGCAGTGCTGTTTACCCACAGAACTTCTTTCATAATTGGAGTCAGTCCTCTGAAACCTTGCCTTATCAACTGAGTTTATGTAATAGCCAAAATCTTTGTTGTCATTTCAACAATCTTCACAGCATCTTTACCAGGAATAGATTCTATCTTGAGAAACCACTTTCTTTGCTCATCTGTAAGAAGCAACTCTTCATTCATTCAAGTTTTATCGTGAGATTACAGCAGTGCAGTCCCATATGCAGGCTCCACTTCTAATTCTAGTTCTCTTGCTGTTTCCACCACATTTGCACCTGTGTTCTTCACGAAAGTCTGAACCCCTCCAAGTTGTCCATGAGGGTTGGAACCAACTTCTTACCAAATTCCTGTTAATGTTGTTATTTTGACCTTTTCCCATGAATCATGAATGTTCTTAATGGCATCTAGAATAGTGAATTCTTTCTAGAAGGTTTTCAGTTTACTTTGCCCAGATCCAGGAGAGGAATCACTAGCTTAATAGAATGTGTTTGTTAAATAATAAGACTTGAAAGTCAAAATTACTCCTTGATCCATGGACTGCAGAATGGATGTTGTGTTAGCAGGCATGAAAACAATATTAATCTCATTGTACGACTCCGTTGGAGCTCTTGGCTGACCAGGTGCATTGTCAGTGAGCAGTAGTATGTATATGTGTGTATATATATATATATATATATTTTTTTTTTAAGATTTTACTTATTTTAGAGAGAGAGCATGTGTATGTGTGTGAACAGAGAGGGAGAGAATCTCAAGCAGACTTCGCGCTGAATGCAGAGCCCATCATGGGTCTTGATCTCATTAACCCTGAGATAAAACCTGAGTCAAAACCGAGAGTCAGTCGAATGCTTAACCAGCTGAGCCACCCAGGTGCCCCAATAAGCAGTAATATTTTGAAAGGAATCTTTTTTTCTGAGCAATAGGTCTCAACAGTGGGCTTAAAACATTTAGTAAACCTTGTTGTAAACAGATGTGCTGTCTCCAGGTTTTATTCTTCCATTTACAGAGCACAGGAAGAGTAGATTGAGCTTCATTCTTAAGGGCCCTAGTATTTGTGGACTAGTAAATGAACACTGGTTTCAACTTAAAAGTCACCAGCTGCATTAGCCCCCAGCAAGGGAGTCAGCTTGTCCTTTGAAGCTTTGAAGCTAGGTATTGACCTCTCTAGCTAATTAAGTCCAAGATGGCATCTTCTTCCAGTAGAAGGCTGTTTTGTCTACATTGAAAATACGTTGTTTAGTATAGCCACCTTCATGAATTAACTTAGCTAGATCTTCTGGATAATTAGTACTTGCTGCTCCACCATGCACTTTTATGTTATAGAGATGGCTTCTTTCCTTAAACCTCACGAACCAGCCTCTGCTAGCTTTGAGCTTTTCTTCTGCAGCTTCCTCACCTCTCTCAGCCTTCTTAAAATTGAAGAAAGTTAGGGTCTTGCTCTGGATTAGGGTTTGGCAAGGAAATGATGGGGCTGGTTTGATCTTCTGTCCAGACCACTAAGACTTTCTTCACATCAGCAATAAGGCTGTTTCGCTTTTCTTATTTGTGTGTTCACTGGAGTAGTAGCACTTTTAATTTCCTCCTAGAACTTTTTCTTTGCATTCACAACTTCCCTAACTGGTATGAGAGACCTAGCTTTTTGCCCATTTCGGCTTTCAGCAGGCCTTTCTTATTGAGCTTAATCATTTCCAGCTTTTGATTTAAAGAGAGAAACTCTGTAACTCTCCCTTTCACATGAACACTTAGAGGCTCTTGTAAGGGTCTTTAATTGTCCTAATTTAACTATTGTTGTGTCTTAGAGAATGGGGAGGCCTGAGGAGAGGGAGAAAGACGGGGGAAAGGCTGGTCAGTGGAGCATTCAAAACACAACATATATTAAGTTCTCCATCTTATAAGGACCTGGTTTGTGGTGCCCCCAAAACAATTACAATAGTAACATCAGAAGTCACTAATCACAGATCACCATAGCAAATACAATGATAATGAAAAATGTCAAAATACTGCAAGAATTAACAAAATGTGACAGAGACAAGAAGTAAGCAAATGTTGTTGGAAAAATTGTGTCAATATACTTGCTCAGTGCAGGGTTGCCATAGACCTTCAGTTTGTAAAAAAAAAACAAACAAAAACCAACACAGTATTTGTGAAGCCTAGTGAGGCGAAGCATTAAAAAACAAGGTATGCCTGTGAAATAACATTAGGATATGCTGGCCGTCCTGGCCTGAACATCCGACGCTGCAGTTGTCAGTGTCACTGTAAAGCAAGGGAAAAATCTCCTGTTCCAATGGTGAGAGAATAAATGAGTACAAACACTATATTAAGTTGAAGTATGCACATCCTAAAACTTTGTTTTCTAGGTTTATGGCCTAGAGAAGATCATGGTTATGTGTGTGTCACAGTGCTCATAAGCATTGAAATTGTGAAATAGTCCCAATACCCTTCAATAGTAGAATGAACAAATATAAATAAATCATGGTTAATTTATGCATTGGAATATATACAGTGATGAATGTAGATAGAACTACAGCTACATTCAAAAGCATTAGTAAGTTATACAAAGATAAGGTGAAAGAAAACAGTTGAAATAGACTATGTAGCATATGATTTCATTTATATAGGTTCAGAACCAAGTACAATTATGCTTATTGTTTAAAAAGGTAAAATCAAGTGGTAAAAACAAAACAAAACACACAAACTAAAGTAAAGAGGGGATTCTGGTGAAGTAGGAAACACCAGGAATCTCTCCACATCTAGACAACAGCTGAACCAGCAGAATGTGTCTGATGTAACTTTTATAATTCTGCAGTTCCTCCAAAGGTTTTTAAGTTCTAGGGGAAGATTTGGAAGGTAAATTGCGGTAAATTTCAGTCAATTTCAGAGCTGTGTAACCCCTAGTCATCAGCCTGCTGGCAGGCAAGCAGCTATACACCTGTTTTTGGAGCAGCTTGCACACTCCCTGTGGCACCCAC